AAATTTACACAAAATTAAATTTTAAAATCTTATTTAAAAATGTTAAAACAAAACAAAAGTTATATTAAAAGAATGAAGTATAAAAATCACAAATTTATTCATTCAATTTTCTCGAAAAACAAAAGAAAAACAAAGACAACAATATTTGGTGCCGCCGAACAGCGCATCGCGGCTTTTATTTAAACTTAACTATAATAATGATCTTTTGAACATATTTCGCGAAAATTTTAATTTCCAAAAACATTTATGTAATTTACACCATTATTAACTCCTTTATCCTTTTTGATTTCAGTTTTTTTTTTCAGTTCCCTCATTTTTCAACACCTCCCAGTCTTTTTTTTTTTCATTTAAAATTGGAAAATTACTTTAACACCTCCGAATAATGATTTCGAAGAATGAGAATGAAATCGAAGAAAACAAATTTAATTTCTTTAAAAATCATTTGTTCTTTTTCTTCTTGTAGTTTTTTGTTTTTCTTAAAAGGATTTTGAATTTTCGCTTAAAATTACAATTCCATAAATTGACCCTATCCTATATACTCCCATTTTAAATGTTAAATTTCTACAATTCATAAAATAACATTTATTATGCGTTTGAAAATGAAATTTTGTTAATGATTTCAATTAATGATTAACAAAAAAATCGAAAATCAGAAAATTATATTCGGTACATTCAGTCGGTTGTAATGGCCAATAATAGTAAACATTTTCTGATTTTTATTTTCGCATATGCTTTACTATATTCTCGCAATGACTCTTGTATTCTTACATGAATTGAAAATGATTACTGAATTTAATGTGAAGTTTATAATACTAGACAACTCCATATTGTGTCCTGAGACCCATTTTTCCTAAGCCTCCTAAGATTTAATGAAAAATTTTTAAATAATGAATACTTTTAATATTCGTAAAAAAATTATATAAAATTTTATATCATATTTATAAAGAATCAATAATTTGGAAATATTGTAGATTGTGTCAACATACAAAAGAAAATCCGATTTGGCCAGTTTGTGCAAAAAATCCAATTTCGCCCTATCCTCAGTAGCGCTGAGGAGAACTTTGCTGAGCAAGATAGAAAGATCGCCCAGGAGCCGGCGAAGATTCGATTCACCCTCAAGCAGAACTCCAAGTTAGCCCACACACAACGGCAGTCACGGGTTAACGGAAAGTTATTTAGCACTGTTTTATTTCTTGCAACACATTACAAGCTTGTGCAATTGAAATATTCAAATTTACCCTACAAGCTTCAGCAAAAATATACTAGCAAATGAGTTGAGAAATCGACAATTTACTCTTCACCACCATTACATTCTGCATTATGCTACTTGAAATTTCAAATTTATCCTTTTTCATAAACTTGATTCCTTATTGTTAGAACTCAGTCTTACTTCTTTTCATTCATGTAATTGCATCAATAAATTTCAGTAAAATATCAGCCAACTGGCATTTTACTTGTTTTAAAGTTCTTTTGACTTTATCTATATACCGATTTAAATTATTTTCAAATTATAATTTTGATTTTTTTTTTGTTATGTTAGAATTGTCGGTGTCGACAACATCCGAATAAGGTGTTGATGATTTGATTTCATTCATTTGGTTTGTCCGATCTATATAATGCAATTCGTATATTTTTCTTGTGGTTAGTTTCCTTCTTACATGCCTAAAAATGTATTCTTTCCTTTCCGATAACCATTATCATTATTATAATTATAATATTATATAATATAATCAATATCAATATATAAATATTATCTTCATTATCAAACAAACCATCAACAATAACAATATTAAGTGCATATTGTGTAGGATCAAAATGATTTTCTAGAGCTTCACACTTGAATTTTTCTATATACAGGATTCTTTCGAATAATACGGTCAATTTGTTTCAAAATTTTTGAATTTCTATAGGCGAATTTAAAGATAATAGAAAAGTGTAAACAATTTTATTTGTACAATAAAGTCACGCTTCCAGATAGTTATTTGTGGAACGTTATGCTTTTTCTAGATTACATTAAATTAGACATGATGCAACAATGCATCGCGACCCATGGTGTGCATTCTTGTCCTTATAGCAAATTCGAGTATCTTATGGGGATCGATTTTTCATAGTTGTCTTGCTGCGAGGATGGAACCACCCAATGACTCCCTTCTGCGGTGTACGAACGCTCAACACTCACCAAGGAGGTGTGTTGAAGCTTGCTCCATTTCCTCACAGAACCTTCAAGTGCCCTCGCCTACCAAGCCCAACCTCCTTATATGATTCCTAAGCATTCTCACCTGGTTCCTTCCCATTCGTAGTTTTTTACTGTATCGATTATCTATAACTCCGATTTCGATTCTTCTGCCTCCTCCAGAATTTCGTCAGGATCCCTACGGCCAGATTACACAAAATAATATGCAAACGATATGCAGTTGGAAATTATTATACACAATACTCAAACTATTCGTAGAATTCCTGTATATGGATTTCTCATTAATATCTGTATATTCAAAACCCTAAAGTGAATTTAAACACGTTCACGACCACCACATTGAATTTTGTAATGGATATTGATTCCATTATAATAAAAATGTTCATTATAATCAAATGTATATGAAAATGTATTCGAAAAAGCAAGAGTGTTAAATGTTATTAAAATTTAAAATAGTTATAAGTTTCTCATTTTCAATTTCATTTTCAATAACATATTTTTTAAAGGTGATGGGGTTTTGAAGGATGTTAAAAAAAAACAAATTTTTTAAATGATAATTGTTCTTGTTCTGAGACTTGTTTTTCTTTTTTTTTTTTAGGTAAAATGATAATGAAAGGTTCTCGATAGCCGGCAGACTTTTGATTAAAATTTTAATTCCAAAATAAACCTTAGAGAGATTGTGAATTTCTGGAAATAAAGAAAAAAAAATTAAAAAAAAAATATAATATTTTTAAATCCAAGTTTAAGAAGTTAGAATAAATGAAAAAAAAAATCACATTTTGCATACCTTTTTCCGACGACTGACTTACGCGTTATAGGAGTCTGACTGGTGTATATTCAAAAACACATTAGCTGATAATAGTCTGATACTGGTTTGAAATAAATATAAGACATCAGAAACCACTTAGTGTTAAAATGTTGTAGAATAGTTTGCCAGAAAATTTCACTGTTATAAATTTTTTGAGTGGCCAAAACTATTCTGTTTTATTAGGGTCTGTTAGCAATTCTAAAATTGTTTAATATTGGTGAATAAAAATTATTTCCTTTTTTTTTCAGAGCTGTTTTGACTCCCTGGTTTTCTTATTTGAGAGGAAGATGTTGAGAAATCCTGTATCGATAAATTTTAATATGGAAAAAGCAACTTCATACATGAATGTAAGTACCATAATATGCAAATTTCATATTTTTATTAAAATTTTTGGTTACCTATGACGGATGATAAATTCGAATTTTTCGTCATTATAATAGATTGAATATTTTCTCAGATTCAATAGAATTTAACCAACAAAATGCTTTAAGTACTTATTCTCTATAAATTACAAAACGCCTTTATTGTTTAATAATAATTTAGAATTCTTACAGTCATTCATTAAATACGATTCTATACCCAGCGCTCGGGATTGCAGTAATTTTTTGGTGTAATTTTTGCAGTCTGAAACACAATTTTACTGAAAAGTAGTAGGGGATGTTATGCTCTTCGATATATTTCTCAAGTTTGCGTCTCAATGTTGTCATCTTCCTATAAAATATTATCTCTCTTTATATTGTCGCTTACAATGTTGAAGTTGGACATACTACGGTATATATAATAGAATACTTTATTTAAAATCAATTTTAAACCTTTTTGCTTTGAAAATTTTTCCTTTAAGTTGTAGTTTTATCAAAATAATAATATGTAATTGTCCTATTTCGTTACAAATTCCTAATTAACTAAAAGATATGGGTACGGTCCTAATTTTGCCTTAGTCTTGATATCATATATTTTGGATAAAACTTTAATTACCGTAATATTTTTTTAAAGAAATCCAATTCGATTTTATTTAATCTTAACTTCCATATTGTAAGAATACGGTTCTTAATTTTAATTCAGCTTACACATACATTTCTGAATTGAGTTTAAAGAGAAATTTCTGAATTGAATATAAAACGTATTACTGCATTATGGAAGTGCTACGTGTAATTTTGGAATTTTATCTAACTGAACAAAAATTATCTGAATCCTTTTTATTATTCAATTTAATGAAAAAATTATGAAACAGAATTTTTTTTTAACAATTTTTAGGTAAATTAATCACGAAAATCAATTCAGTTATTGCACGGAATGCATGGAAAAAAACAAAATTCAGAGAATTAAGATCAAATTAAAATTAATTTTGATTGTAAATGATCACAAATTAATGCTTTCAGTACACAAAGTTGCAATATAACTGTAAAAATATACAATAATTTTATTACATAACAAGGACAAAACAGTTAACGAGAAGAATTTTATTTGACTTCCGAATAATTTGTTGTTTTTGAACCATAAAATATTATTGAAAAAATCTTGTAAATTTAAAGAATTCAATAATTTTAATTCAGTTTGGGAAAGCCCCTGTGGCTTTTCCATCAGAATACTTTCTTGTATAACGAATAAATGTAAACAAAACGAGTACTTAAAGTGATTGAATACAAAAATATTATTTTGGTAGCACCTGCCTCAATAATATTCTTATTGAATTTTTACACTAAAAAGTGCTAATTATCTGGAGGACCTCATAAATATCAGTAGTACGATATTGAGCAACATTGTTGCTTCCTATTTAAAGTAAAAATTGGATGATATTAAATAAATTTTCTTAATAAATTAAAGCCAAAGGCGATTTCTTCATTTCTTTATGAGAAAATGAATAAAATTTTATCATTTCTTTCTGCCTTTAGTGCCTTAATTCAAGGAATCATAAGCAATTTCTTGTAATAATGGCAAATTTTAATCTTTGCATTTCAAATACCCTAGCGATACGCGATTTTATCAGAAAATTTTGAATCACTTAATCAAAGACGTGACCGAATTGATATTAATTTTAGAATCCCAACCACAATCAACAATTAAATCATCTCTATTATAACTCCAATCTAATCCGTAAATACATTCATCATGATCTTTTAAAATTTGTATTGATTCTTCTTGATTTTCAATATCCCAAATCCTAAAATGAAGAACAGAAATTAATACAAAAATATTTTGCAATTTACAAAAAAAATTTTTTTTTAATTACCTTGTTGTACAATCAAAACTTGTTGTTGCCAAAATATTTGGTAAACATTGTGAATATTTAATTTTTCTAATTGCCATTAATTCTGAACCTAAAAATTCATATACAGGACTATCATCTTTAATATTTCTTATATCCCAACATCTAATAAGACCATCAGAACCACCGGTTGCTAACATCCAATGATTAAATTTATTCCAATCTAATGATAATGCTTCCTCATTATGTACTTTAATTTTACCAATTGGATTACCTGAAAAATCTAAAGAATTCCATAAACATAAATTACCATCAGTACTTACACTTGAAAATATATTTGGTATAAATGGTGCATATGCTGCTTGATATATTAATATATCATTTGTTATTAATGTTGATTGTGATGATATTGATGATCTATTCATTACAAATGTTGATAATGAATTACCACGTGTTGGATCCCATATTTTCAGTTTATTATCCCAACTGGCGCTTAATATATTATTTGAATGCCAAAAACTACCCCAATCTAAACTGTATATTTCAGCATTATGCTCTGAATATAATTGTATTGGTTTTGGATTTTTTAATGGTGAATTAAGATCCCATAATTGCATTATACCATCACCAGATGATGTAACAACTAAATTTTCATTAAGATTAGACCAAGCCTTTTTGAAAATATTTTATGAAATAAAAAGAAAAAATTGAAAATTAACAACATTTTTAAATAATATTTTGACATAACATAAATTTAGGATAAAATTGATAAATTAAACAAAATACTCACCACATCAAATAATCCATCATCCCATTCATATTGTCGAATAAAGGAAATATTTTCATCATCATATGAAAAATAAAATAATGTTCCATTTCCACTCATTCCATATTGTTGACTAGTTGCCACCACAATATTGCGTGAATGAAATGGTGAAAATTTCACAGAATAACCATGACGATTTGGTGTTTTAATTGAAGGCATTTTTTTAGATTTTTTTTTTTAAGAAAATTTTTTTCATGAAATCTGGAAAAGAGACAGAAAAAAAATTTAAAGTTATTAAAATTTTAATTAAAATTTTAGTATACTTTAATATAAATTTTCTTTAATATTTTGACATATTTCAAATGTTTTAAAAATATTTTCGAAATTTTCTTTAATTTTTTATATTTTTTTTTTTCCAACTAACATTATCAAAGACACAAACCGAAGAAAAATAAAAGGAGTGTTGTTTTCATGATGATTCGTTTAAGGTTCCAAATTGAAAAATACCAATTCACAATAATCATTACTATTGCGAATTATGCAAGAAAATATATAGAGGTTATAATAGTTTGAGTTGGAAATTAGATTTATTTAAATGAAAATCCTTACAAAATTTATAATACATAATTTTGAACGAATTATTTAGCTGAGCTGATTATTTTATTTCAATGTCATGTAAACTCATACGTAAATGGTGTATCCTAAATATATGCAATTTTTTATTTCAAAAATATTTAAATTTTCGGTTTTAAACAACATCACTATTAATTAATAACAATATAAATAATTATGTAAGCATATTAATTTTCGGTTTGTAAGGAAGGTAGCATATTGAGAAAGCGGCCTTAACGTATGATTCGACATTTTCAGTAGTTCTTACTATTATCTGATATTGAAAATAATTTCAAATTAAAATCTGTTTTGCAATGACAAAATTTCACTCAATCATAAGTGTCTATACTTTTCAAAATTATTAATTTGTCAATGCAATGCGATAGAATTATAGTGAAATTCTAGCGAAACTGAACTTCTCTCACTCTCACTCTCATAGTAAGTATAGATTCTTAATTGAAATACTTCCACTTGATCTAATAATGAAATAGAAATTTTTTTTTTTGGATCTTAAACTATATTCCTTTGAATGTGTTAAAATGCATAGTAAATGCGCGTGCTAACAAAAAAAGCTTAAATTTAATAAGTAGCTCTATACCAGTGGTGGGAAAATAGTGGATCATGGCCTCTTCTATTTTCTGAATTCTGTTTACTGTAATATACTGAATTTTTATCAGTTCAGTATATGGGACCTTCGAACGAATCTGTATTAAACTGATTTCAACAATATTTCACTAAATATTGTATACTTTAGTAAGCTACCGTCGAGATTTTAAAAAATATATGCAGCAAACATTCACGTAAATTCAATACTAATAGTGTAGAACCATACCAAATAAAGAATAATGATTTGTTTTTCATAAAAATTTGAACGTAAATTGATTATTTGTAAAATTTTCAAAATTGTATACTTGAGATTTTAGAAATTTTTAATTTTTAATTGTTGGCGCTCATCAAAATAAAGTCTGGCCACTCCTGTTCTATATTCCGCATTAATAAATCAAATAATTAAAATCCCAAATAAATTGGATGATATTGTATTTTAGAATTAATTTAAAATTTTAATTATTATTTAATATTTTATAAAAACTTCCTTTTAATTGTCAAATAATTTAATCAATTAATAAAACGGCCCATTCTAAATTGGTGCAAATCACTTAAAGCGTTTTTTTTTTTAATTATTTTATAAGTAAATTATTAAATAATTTCAAATATTTAAGTAATAAATTCCAAATCAGACAAAAATTAAAAAAAAAAATTGCCATATACAACAATTTTTAACCTTTAATCTAAAAATAGAACAGCTGCTAAATAAATAATGTTAAGAGCAATGCATACACACACCAAATACTTGTACAACTTCCTTGAACTTGAAGTATAAAATTTTTGAAAAGAAAAAAGAGCTTTTAACTAAAAAAAATTTTGCTATGAAAAATTTTAAAAAATTTTTAGTCAATTATTCGGTAATGTGGTTAAGACCATAAACTTGAACTGATTATTTTCATTAAAAAAAAAAAAAAAAGAAATGTAAATAGCAATTATAGTGTTAAAAAGATTAAAGTGGAAGACCTTCAACCCATTTATAATGTCTTAAATTTTTCATTTTTTTATTTTACTTTTCTGTTAATTTTAATCTTACATTGTACAACATTAACCCATTGTTATATTGTTATCCATATTATGCGTACATAAGTGTGTATGTAAGGTTGTGTATATTGATAAATGTATATATGTAATTAATGATTATTGAATATTGATAAGTTCTCAGCAACTTGCTTATGAGCGTCTTATTACGAGTCTTTATACCTACTTGCATATATTATGAAATATTTTTTTGCATAAGTTTATTCCGATAATCTTATTAAAGACAAAATGTAATAAAAAAATAAATAAGAAATAAAACAAAAGAAATTGACATTTTTCTTACCGTTATAAAAAAAATACCTTGTAAAATATTTTTTAATTGAAATAACATATACAGGATGAGTAATGTTAGAAATGTGCTATAATTGAAATAATATGACGTAATCAGGAAGAAAATTAATTTATTACAAATTTTGCTGTAAGAGAAAGAACCTTAAGATTTTTGATTTTTCCTAAAAAAAGTCTAGCAAGTATAGTTAAAGAATTTGGTATATTAAGAAGTAGTTTATTAATGAAAAATAATTGGCTTTAAAATATTGAAGAATTTGGTAATCCGATACTAATAACCTACAGTCATCTGAGTTAATATCTCAATTCGATTTCAAATTGATTTTAACCTGCCCGTAAGAAAAGCTAATTAATAATAGAATTTCGTAAGTAAATCATTGGTCTCCTTGTATAGCGTCACACTCGTTCTGTCCTAAACAGTAAGTTCGATTACAGCGCGTGGTATATAAGCATACAAACTTCTTCAAAACGAATTGATACGCTGCTCCTCTCGATTACTTCTCACGAATTATTCTCGATTATTTTTTGCATGAAAATTTTGTAAGCTTTCTATTACTTCAGGTAGGAATATTTTTATGCTATTAAATATTTCTGATATTACCCAGCATTTAGGATTTAGCCTATGTGCAACAACTACCGAAAAATTCACTTACGCGGAGTTGATTTTTTTGTTGTCAAACAAAGGTTTGCAAACAATATATCAATAATGAACATAATGCTATAATGTTGCGTCACCAAAAATCACAAACAATATTTTATTTTCGGTTTATTTCATGCTTTCTCTCTCTTTCTCTCCCTTTCTATTTCTGATATTAGATTTAAAGTATGTGCTTAATATTAAAATATTTGTAATGACTTGCATATACATACAAAAAATAATTATTTTTAATACTGTAAATAATTAAAAATTTTATAAGAATGCACCATAATTTTCAAAAATTTTAAATGTATAAGCTAAATTTAGAATAATTCCGAATATGTATACATAATAATATTTTTAAAATATAAGTAGCTAAATATTACACATAAAATAATTTCAGAATGACGTCATCAAACTGAAAGATTTTAATAACAATTGGATTGCAATAAAAACAAATAGAACGTATATCGTATTTTACAGCAAAATATTAACAAAATACAAAATAAAATTCTAAGAAGAAGAAAAAAAAACAATTTTAAAACAAATTTATGCGGGAAACCATATAAAATTTACAGAAATTAAAAAAGTGTACTAAATTTACATATACCCACTTTACGGTTGTAATTATTATTCTTGTACATACAATATTAATTTTCATACACGAAATAATAAGATTTTATAAAACTACTATAGAAATAGTTATTTTAAATATAAAAATTTCAAAAATTACAAATATGAATTTTTGGTATGATGTACTTTTGGTATGAGTTGCAACCCACAAAACAATTTTATTTCACATATGTATGTATTTAGTTTTTAGTTGATTTCCTCATAAAATTTCATGTAGTACGTTCGTAAACTTTATAACATTGTGAGAACAGTAGTTATGAAAGATCTTTTCTAATTAGTATTCTCACATAATTACATTTTACATGTTAAATTTAAACAATTATGCTAAATTTGAAAATTACATGTGAACGCATTTATTAAATTAATTTTAATTTAACAGAAATAGCTAAGAAATTTCTTAGAAATGCTCACATAAAGTTGTGAATATTCATGAAGTATTTTAATTAGATATATACTTTGTTGACTTCAACTGCGATGCTGTTAATTGTTTACACCAAAAATGATAAATGTTCGTATAATAGTAGTAATGTGCAAGTTCTGTATGTTTACTTATGGTTACAGATGTTACTAACTCTGATACTTAACGAGGGATGGATTGCAAGAGTTATATTGATTTTTTGCAGAAATAAATTTCTGCTTATCTTATAAACAAAATTTTATTATTATTAATTGTAAAATATAATTCAGCTATATTTGGAGTTGAAGACAGTCGAAATGCCCACATACTTAGGACTATTATAGAGTGCAAGAGGTTTGAATATGAAGCAAATTAAATTTTGAAATGAAATGAATGCGTATTTTTTGGCTATATGGTAATATTTGATGTTAAATAAATTATATGCAAAATATGTAGGTAACATCATAAATATGAACATCTCGTTTACTGTCATACAAAAATAACTCAACAATAATGTCCTAAATGAAGAGGAAAATTCAAAAGCGAATTTTAAATTTAATTTTTTATGAGTCAATCCAAAATAATTCGATATTTACGAAAATATTATACAAATAATGTGTATAATTCCAATAGTATGAGTAATAATTTCTCATATTTTACTGTTTTGCCTATGGTATTTAAAAGTGAATTACGCATAATTGTGTATTAATTTTCTCTTATTTGACAAAGGAACACAGAAAAACGTTTTTTAATCAAGAAGAAAAATATAAATTCTAAATTTATTTTGTTATAAATTTCTTTTACATTATTTAATATTTCTAGATTTTGGAGAATGCTTAATCCTCTACAACAGAAAGTTAACATATTCAATAATTTTTATACGTATATCGTAAGTTGTTATCCAATCAGTCATGTAAAAGCCGTCAATTATAGTTTTGTTTAGAAACCATTGAAAAAAACTAAATAAGAGTTGATGAGATACTAGTAGCTCTATTAGAAACATCACGTTTGAAGTTTATCAGGACAAACAAAAATTCGAATAATTATTCATGCTATAGCTATTCATAGCAGGCTTAATGGTATATATCGTAAATACGAATTCTAAATTATAACTATGAATGGAATGTTGAAAAGAAAAAATTTAATATATAAAGTCCTGTTACAAACACAACACAATTTTACATATTTTGCTGTCACATTTTATAAAATCTGGTCTTTACATAATAAAAATTTCTTTAATACGATTTTAAATATTATAAGAAGCTTTTTGAAATTATTGAAAGAATTGAAATTTATTAATTGTTATAAAACACAAAAGAATGCATGTAAATCGTAAACAATTGAAATTTCAATAAATTTTTCTTGTTACGAGGCCAATCTTATTATTAATTCAATTATGTAAAAAAATCAATTAATTTAAATTCAAGAAATGATCAAAAAATTGTCAGAGATCTTTGTGTCAGAAATAAAAGAATAGAAGAAGATATATTTTAATAATATATGTACAAATGTGTATACAAAATTTCCCTGATTATTATTTAATTAATAATTCTTTCACTTCCAATGCTATGATATAAGTATATTAGAAGTGGAAGAAATTGTGCATTAAATTTTTAAGCATACTGGGTCCCAGACTTGAACCCAAATAAAAAAAACTCAGAGCTTATTCAATGCGAAACTTTGTAATTCGGAAAAACACGGTGTTGTTTCAAAAATATTTGTGCACGAACCAGGTAAGGCCGCCTACATATTTTTTAGAAAGACAAAATCTCATAAGAAAATAAGGGCTTTCGATAACACCAATAATTGTATAATATTGTTGATCCCCTTCTGTGACTTAAATAATCACTTTATTGCAGTTAAAATATTGCATAATGACAAGGTCGTTATGTCATTAATTTTTTAATTATTCTCTTACAACTTAATCTTAATGTTCGGATAATTTTAAAGATTATCCTAACCATAGTCATTGAATCACCAATTATTTGATCTTTAAGTTAAAATTTTTAGATTAAAATATCAATTAAACCTCTATTAACTATATTTTAAGTGTATTACAAATTTGTTATTCTATTGATAATATTGAAAAGTATTACAAAATAATTCTACCAATAATTCTATGTTGAATATTATTTTCTTTAGAAATTCTGTTATACAAGAACTAAAATATGAAGTCATTTGACGGAGTAAATTTTCATAACTATTCGCAATTTTTAATTGTATAAACTGGTGTAATTGGTTGTGTCACACATCTTGAGTCTTATACAGAATGCTGTTAATGATATGAATTTAAGTGTTATACACAACAATAGTGAGGGGTTATATAGGAGTATTTCTCTATGGCTATACATTATTCAATTCTATGTACGTACATGTTAACAAACTATATATAAACGAAGCCACACTGTCTCATCGAAATCATATGGATTTTAATTGCGAAACAAGGAAGGGTCACTTCAAATACAAAGATTTTACAACACATTCTATTTTTTATAAATTTTTAATTTTAAATTCAATTAAACCTTATAATTTTACTGAAATTACATATATCCAACAACCTCTTAATTAAAAATTTGCATTTTTAATGTAGTTCCGTTAAAAAAAAAAACTCCATTGCATTTGTAGTAACATTTATTAAAATTTTTTCTATATAATATACATATATGAGTAGATCTATAGGTATTCGACCATGAACACTTTTCTGGTTTCTTAAACTGTCGCACAAAATGTTCGATTTTTGTTTTTATTTAATTGTTTTTATATTTATAGATTTTTGTTAATTTCTTATTTTTCTAACAAAACCTAATTTATTTAAAAGAGAAGTCAGAGAACTTTTATATATAGTATAACAGTTAATGTTATTGTCTTATTGTTTCAAATGTAAAAAAAACATATGTTTTTATTTTTAAACTGTGTAATTTAATGTGTTAAAATTGTAGGTGTGTTTTATGAATGCAAATTAAATTGTGAATGAAGAAGGAAATGTGAATTTTTGGGTTAAGTTAGATAGAAATGTTGACTTCATTTAGTCTCTATAATAAAAGTATTCTTTAGCCAACATTGCTCTCACATGCACATTAACAAATTTAATATGCATAATTACGATTAAATAACATTGCAGAGCACAAATTTTATCATAAATAAAACTCTATAAATCTTTCTCAGTTAATTCTTATTACAACAAAATCTTAAATATTATACATATTTATAAAATTCTCTTACTTAACTGTCCTATACCTTAATTAACACGTGGCATGCAAACGATTATCAAAATTTATATTGGTGGATAAGTATTTTATATTAAGCTTCCTGAAATTGCAGCTCAGCAATCTCAGTTGAATTCGAATATCCGATTCCAAGCGGGCGGTACTTGAATTAAAAACTCTTCGCGTTAATTTAGGTACAGCAGTAAATCCAAAATATGTTTAGCATTTCAGGATTCAAGAATATAATACGAAAAATTTAAGTTTGTCTCTCTTATCTTCGAAAAGTCTCATCGTTTAAACTTAAAACTTAATGAGAGGAAGAGGGAAGCTCTTAAACAACATGACCGCCATATTTACTTTCTTAGCTTGAACGCCATATGAAAGAAAAAATATGTTTATTTCATTATCAAAATTTTGTATCCGTTCTATTCTTCTAATATTTTTGTAACAATTTATTGATTCACAAAAATTTTAAATTACTTTTACCATTTTATTTTGCGCATTTGTTACGTTTTATACACTAAATTTCATTAATACATCATTAAAATCCACCACATAAATTAAGGGTGGTGAAGGTGAGAGAATATTCAAATAGGCGCAAATATTTAAAAGGAAAATGTTACAAAATTGTTTTTGTTAAAAAAGAATACCTGCATAACACAAGTATAACAGTAATTGACAACAATAAAATTTCTACGTTCTTTCTTAATAATATTTTAAATCCATTTAAAAAAATATATACATATTTATTGATTTAGGGAAACCTTAGAAAAGGTATAAAAGACCCCACGCACCATTAGAATCAGCTCATTTGGAGTACAATATTCGAACTGTCCATTTTCCCTTACAAAATTGAACAAAAAAAATACAACAAAATAAAGCAAACGAGTGGATTTTAAAATTTTATATTTTAAAAAGTGAGTGAATAAATTAATTAATTTTTAATTAAAAAAAAAATTAATTAAAGAATAGTTAAAAAACAAACTGGAATAAAGAACAGTTTTAAGAAAAAAATAGTGTAAATTAAAAAAAAAAAAACTGCAAAAATGGTTGTCTCAGTAAAGGTTTTCAAAAAGACCACCCCAAATGGAAAATTAACCTTCTATTTGGGACGTCGTGATTTCGTTGATCACTTGGATTACTGTGATCCTGTTGATGGTGTTGTTGTTGTCGATCCAGATTATTTAAAATCACGTAAGGTATATGGACAACTTGTTACGACCTACCGTTATGGACGGGAGGAAGATGAAGTCATGGGAGTTAAATTCTCAAAAGAGATGATCCTATGTAAAGAACAAATTGTACCGGTTATCAATGAAAAAATGGAAATGACACCAACTCAAGAGAAATTAGTACGTAAATTAGGTGCTAATGCATTTCCATTTACATTTCAATTTCCACAAAATTCACCAAGTTCAGTAACATTACAAGCTGGTGAAGATGATAGTGGTAAACCATTAGGTATTGAATATTGTATCAGAGCATTTGTTGGTGATAATGAAGATGATAAACATAAACGTAGTCAAGTTAGTTTAGTTATCAAAAAATTACAATATGCACCAAATAATCGTGGACAACGTTTACCAAGTTCATTGGTTAGCAAAGGTTTTACATTCTCTAATGGTAAAATTAATTTGGAAGTAACATTAGATCGTGAAATATATTATCATGGTGAAAAGGTTGCAGCAACAGTTCAAATAACAAATAATTCGAAAAAAACTGTTAAAAATATTAAAGTAATGGTTGTTCAACATACTGAAATAACAATGGTTAATCAACAATTCAGTAAGAATGTTGCACAATTAGAGACACGTGAAGGATGTCCAGTAACACCAGGTGCTAATTTAACTAAAACATTCTATATGGTACCATTGGCTTCAAGTAATAAAGATAGAAGAGGTTTGTATATATAAAGAAAATATTTATATAAAATTCAAATAAATTTAAATGAAATTTTTTATAGGTATTGCTTTGGATGGTGCATTAAAGGATGAAGATGTAAATCTTGCATCTTCAACAATGGTTTGTGACGGTAAGACAACAGCTGATGCAATTGGTATTGTCATTTCATATTCATTAAGAATAAAATTGAATTGCGGAACATTGGGTGGTGAAATTCAAACTGATGTACCATTTAAATTAATGAATCCAGCTCCAGGTAAATTAATTTTAAATTTTATTAATTTTTTTACGATATAGTTTTAGTATAAAGATGGGTATATGTGATAGCACCAACTTTCGCATATCAAGTTTTCGTCGGAAATGAACTTCTAATTGGTAGTCTGCTTGTGCAGATTTCAATTTTGGTTGAATCTATTTTCATGAAAATTTATATCTAAGTTGATTTTTGTTATGTGTCGATTCAATCAATTTTTAGAATATGTCAGGTCTCGGGAACTGGACGGTCTGCTTTTTTTATAATTTTAAAAAGATATTTAACAGATTATCTTGAAATTTTCTATATAACCTTCGTCGACTAATGTGACAAAGCAACGCATTATATCATGCCTTAGAGACTAATTGACGGATTTTCTTGAAAATTAATATTTGAGTTCTGTTTGAGTTATGCTTGCTTACTGAAGAATTTTTCAAAGAATTCACTTAGCATAGAATGAACCCTTTCTAAGACCCGGATTTCTATTTCTCTAAGTATGTAGCATACCTAAAATTCCTAAACAAAAATTCAACAGACATTCTCATAGCTTTGTTCAACGGTTTCGCCGTAACAGAAAAAAAAAAATAATTTGCGGCCGGTTATGTGCTAACCATATCAGATTTTTTACAATTTAAATTTATATTTTATAAATTTCTTTAATTTCTTTTTGCTTTTAGGAACCATTGAAAAGAAACGTTCAAATGCATTAAAGAAAATGAAATCAATTGAACAACATCGTTCCGATCGAAATTATTATGGTGATGATGACGACAATATTGTATTTGAAGATTTTGCTAAAATGCGTATGCAAAATGTTATGATGGAAAAAGATTAAAATTCTTAAACACAATAAAAAACAAAAAAAAAAATTGTGCAAATGTTGTGAAAAAAAATAAAACTAATTTTTTTTTTTATTTGTCATTTCCAAATAAAAAAATTAAAAAAAAAAATTAAATAAAAATTATATGCAATTTTACTGTCAATATTATAAAAATGAAAATAATCGAACGCTTGTTTTAAATATTTAGAAAAAAAAAATAAATAAATAAAATTAAAATAAAATAAAATTAAACATCTAATTAAGAAAAAATAAAAGTTTAAACAATAACAGTAAAATAAAAGTAAACAATAGAATAGAATAACAACAACAACAAAATAACAATCACCACAACCACACCACAATATTATTGTTTACTTTTATTTTCATTATGTTGCATTTGCATTATTATTAATTAAAATATTAAAAACATTATATCTATTATATATTATGTTATACTTATGTTATGTTATTTTATGTTATAGCTATGTATAATAAATAAATTTAAATAAAAAGAGAAAACAAAATGAAACAAACAATTAAATACAATAATGTTATGTTAAAAAAAAAAAAAAAAACAAAACCAAAAAAAAAAAAATATAAAAATCAAACAACAAATTTTTAAAGAGAAACAAGAACAGAACAACTTAATTCTATATACTATATTTTAAATTTATTAAAATTAAAATTAAATAAAATTATTAATTATTCAAATTTATTAAAAAAAAATAAAATAAATATGGGATTATTATTAAAATCTATTTTAATTATACTTAAAAACAAAAATATATTAATAAATTAAAATTTATTAAAATATTATTAATGAATGTCGAAAAAAAAAACAAGTTTTTAAATAATTTCAGAAAAAATAGAACAATATGTTGCAAATTACATTTTTTCGAGAAATAAATTTTCTCACATATTTTATTTATTATAAAATTAATTAATTAATTAATGGAATGAAAAACTAGTCAAAAAAAAAAATTATTATTGAAAAATTTACAATTATATATAATTATTAATTGTTAATTTATTTTAAAATATTTTAAATTAAAAATCATAAAATTAAAATGTATTTTAATTTAATCGAAATTTGAAAAAAAAACAAAACAATTAAACAGAATCAAAAATATTATAAAATATTCAAATTATTAAATTATTATAATTATATTAAATTATTAAATGTCTATATTCAAAATATTTAAATTATACAAAACCAATTTAATGAAAAAAATTTGGTTTGAAAAAAAAATTTATTATTAAAAATAATCACACTATTATTAATTAACTATCAAAGCAAAAAAAAAAAAAACAACCAAAAATTGTAACAAAAAAAAAAAATGTTTACCGCTAATGATTTTTGTTTATTTTATTTTTTATTATTGTTGACTGATTCATTATAAATATGAAAGAGAAAACAAAATTATACAAGAAAAAAAAAAAAAAAAATTATTTAAAAAAAAATTTAATAAAATTTTTTTTAATTTTAATTTTTTTCATCATTTTATTTTCTTTATATATACATATATATACAAAATACACACTTAAAAAATATAAAAATAAACCAAAAAAAAAAAAAAAAAAAAAGAATTATGTGACAGGATAATGATAAAAAGAAACAACCATAACAACAACATCAAAAATCCAAAATTAGAATTAAAAATGGAAGGTGCAAAAACGTTATAAGACATTATAGGATAAATAAAAAAAATTAAATAAACAAATTATTATATACCTATATATTATATACATACTCAATATAATATATTTATACAAGAAAGAGAAAAAAATATTTTGTAAAATTTTATCACAAACAAATTTATTTATAAATAAAATATTATTGATGAACAACACATACAAATACTTAATTAAATTATGAAATAAAATTAAAAAAGAAACCAAATAACAATATATACATACTTATATACATAAAAAAATAAAATTTAATAAGCAACAAAAAAAAAAAAAAAAAATTATAGAAAAAAATTTTTTTTTTGTAATAATTTAAAAAAAAAAACAACCAAAATAAATTATTAAAAATTTTAATTGTTAAAGGATGCGTTAAGAGTAAAAAAAAAAAATAAAAAAAAAATAGGATTTATTTACTTGAAATAAAGAGAAGTGAAAAATGGAAACAAAAAAAAAAAAACAAATAAAAAATTTTTATTACTATTAAATTGAATAATTTTAAGGGTTATGACTAGTTTAACAGGTTAGAATTCGCCCGATTAGTGGTAGTCTTCGATAATACGAACAAATTTCCGAAATTAATGTGCTGGCAACACTCCAACAATTGTATTCATTTCTTAAAAATTGATTCATTTATATTGATTTCTTAAAAATAAATATGATTTTGGGAACGCTGCCAAAAAATACTGATACAATTGATTTTGGTACTGATTTTTCTTGTGTACGAATCTAGAAAATTTAAAAATGAGCATGTCAGAAATATTTTGGTGAAAGCTAGGTGTAATAGTTTTTTTCATTTTTAAGATGAAGCTTTAGTCTATTATACCTATTTTAGTATTTACCGCATAGTTTAACAGCTACAGCACACATATTTTCTGACTTGAACTTTTACAATTAAAATGCAATATAAGTAGTATGTTATTTCTTAAAGAATTTACTAAAAAATGAAACTCATATTGGTGAATATTCTATGTCTGGATAGATTTCAGATACATTATTTTCTTGAAATTGGATACATTATGTTTTTACCGAGTGAGAATATTATTTGCCGCAAACAATCAAATTGAATTTGTAACGAAGTCTTGATACCAATTAAAAGTGAACTCTAATGAGTGATAAAAATATATCTATTGCATATATTACAATTATTTTATAGTTTTACAATAAAATATTAAAATTTTAAATAGTTTAATAAAACAGTTGATATTAAGATTTTACAAATTTGCAAAAAAATTAAAATTTTTAGTTATTGAACTTCTATAATTATATATAAAAAAAATATTTTTAAAATTTTAGAAGAATTTAAATAGAAGCAATTAAATGCCATCAATTCCTTATTTCTCTTATAAAATACGACATTAACCTTTAACCGATGAGGTGTAATTACTGAAGAGGTTTTTGTTTTGAAATTACTCCCTTATATAATTAGTCCCACATTTTAATATTTAAAAGCTTTATGTTTTCTTACTCTGTAATGTAATTTTGTTATTGTACCGTGCCTAAAACACTTACTGAGAAATTGAAAGAGAGGTGTAATAATTACTATCACCTTGACGAATATAAAGAATCCTCTTGAATTTCGAATATTAATGTATTATAGGGCAGGAAAAAATATTTTAAAATATTAGATTGTTATTAATTTCATTCATAATGAGATTGTCATTCCAATTTCTTCGAACTATTTTATTCAATATGAAAAATCACACAAACTAGCTATTTAAAATTTTGAAAAATTGTACTTATGAAAAATTTTGAATATATAAGCTCATTATAAATAAATAATTATATAAAATATTGATTCACTTACACTTTTCAATATAATCCTTAAAAATGCCTCACAAATTCGTATTTTAAATTAGAATTCCTTAAAGATAAAAAAACACTAAAAAATTGAAAAAAATTAAAAATCCTTAAAAGGACTTTGTATAACAAAAAAAAATGGTATATTTAAAAATTATAAATTATAATAAAAATATTTATATAACACTTAATATGTATAGTATACAAGTTCATATAACACTTTTTATAAAATTTCACTTTCTTAATATTTAAATTTTAAAATTTCTAAAATCTTTTCTTAATAAGAAAAACTATAAAAATGTTTAGACTTGTCGCAATTTTGATTATAAATGAGACAAAAATTTAGCACAGTTATAATCGAAAAGGAAATTTAATAAAAATATATAAGAAAAATTCGGAAATGTAGAACAAAAGACAAAAAGAAAATCAAAAAAAATTCGAAAACCCTTTTTATGTAAATTTTTTTCTTATATAAGTTTCTGTTATATAAAACTATATTGTACTACTATTTCATGTACGTATACAAGTAAAAGAGGGTAGGTATACGAATATGAAGAACAAATTTTAAAGATGATAATTGCCTATTTGTTCATTTGCTCATAGCCTTTTAACACACTCTTAATATAGTTATACACGCAAATGTATTTAAGTATATAGATATACTTACACAGGTATAAAAAACCAAAGTGGAAGGGGTTGAAATTTTAGAAAACCCTTTTTTATTAAAATTATTGTTGTCATTACTTGAATTTTAAAATGAACTTATATACGCAATCATAAAATTACCCCTTTATTTGGGTATATAACATATATATGGTTATGTGCCGGCAAATAATGTTAAATGAGATCATTTTCGAAAATTCGAAAATTCCGATTAAGAATCCCCTCTATTATGTATATCGGTATCGGCCGATAAGCGATAATTTATCGGCAAAATTTTGTGTTTGTATTACCAACATTGTTTATCGGTAAATTTTATCGGAGTCGGGAAAGCTTTTTTTCCCTGTATAGGAAACGTATTAGCTGGTATTATGAAAACGATAAATTGTCGGATTTTCACCGATTTAAAAGCGGGTACAAATTTTTAGACGACAGATTTTTTTTTTTGTAAAATCTTCATTTTATCAAGGAAACTGGTGTATTTAATTGCTTTTTTAAAATGTAAGCATTTTTTCTAAATTATTTTCTTTCAAAATGTTATTCATATATTTTATTTAGGAGTAAAATCGTAAGCAACAAAAAACAAATTGCGCGGTTAGTAGAAAAAATGGAAGAGGACTTAAACCTGGCAAGGAATGATAATCTGAAATTCTGGATAAACCTAAAAAATGTGTACATATTATATATGTAAATAATAAAATAAAATAGGTACATAAACATACATTTTGTTGTCTAAATCCAATGGATTAGTTGAATCTCTTATATGTCGTCTTTGAATAGCTTGCGTTTCTTCACTTACTACCGTTTCTTCACTTTCAAAATATAATGCACGCGACATTTTCCCGATATATGTATATTTTTATTTTACAAATTTAACAGAAAATAATTTGCTTACAACAACTTTTTAGCACATCAAAACCAAATTCAAAATAGTTTTAAAAATTTTTTGAAAATAACTTTTGAAAGAAAACAAATGTCATTAGAAAAAAAAAAAACTTTTTCTCCAATTTACAAAAACAAAAATTTGTATGAAAAAGCTTCTTTTAATCGGTTGAAATATTTTTATCGGTATCGGTTCATAATACAGAAGAAACTTAAAACCGATTAGAACTGCCGATAATATATCGGCCGATACCGATGTTCATAATAGAGGGGAATATTTATACTTTGATTAGAATAGTTTCTGATACCTTTTTAGCCTATCAAATTTTAAAAACACACCTGAGAGAATTCATTTATATTGTATACCAATACATAGAAGACTGTTATAACACTCGCATACAGGACTTTTAGCAGCTTATAGATGAAATACTGTTATATACAAAGAAATTTTTTAGTTTTTTTTATACTTGTTGAATTCTAAGTAAATATTTTAATTAGAGGTCACCATTTGTTAGGGGACCATAATTAAATAGAAAAATAACGACAAAAATTTTTAATATTTTTTTAAAGGTCAAAAGGATTGAATAAAAAACATGGTTTCATTACATTTTTTTGTTGTCCGAATTACAACGGAAAATAACGGATATTTCTTTTTATTTAAAATTTAATTTACATAATATTATAACAAAACCAGTTACTAACACAGTAGGTATATACTTTTATATACTTATAATTACAAACACATTTCATAATTTTTTTAATGTCATGTGGTTTCAGTACATAAAATAACGCACATTTGGCCATATTGAAAATTAAAAATTACTTTGTTTTTTTTTTTTGTAGTGCTTATAACTTCAAAACTTTGTGATAATTGAAGGATTATTCAAATTAAAAAAAAATATATATGTCCGAAATCAAAAATAGTACAAAAACTTATAGCCTTTTGAAATATGGCGAATTTACCAGAAAAATTCATTTTTTGCACATAGTTTTCCATTCGCAGCTGTTGGTAACTTAATTTGTTTGTTGCTTGTAGACAGACAGTCTTAAAATATTATTGAATTTTAATTAATACTAGGTAATTGACAATGCATTAAGTCCCATAATTGTAACATTAGGATATTTTGCTATTGTATACTTATATTGATAAAATAAAATGATTAAAATAAATCAAATTCGAATTTAATAAAAAAATATTCTTAGAATACTCTTAATATATTTATAATTTTTATTAATTCATCATATACGAATGACACATCAAACATTGCCTTGATAATGTTTATTATTTTTAATGGGATGATCTTTCTTTCTAATGTTTTCCATATTGCATCCCTTTCCACACGAAGTGCCCCCAGGCAATGTATAGGGGGAAAAACTCAGTCCAGTCCTGAATCCTGCCTGTTAAATTCTTGCAGTTTTCAAGAAAACTCTAATCCCATTTATTTAATTTTAATTCGTCTTGGCTAATTCCCATTGCATTAAAAAGTTATTTTTTAATAATTATTTATTACAACATATACATTAAATTTATTTATATTGCATAAGTATATAATTATTACTTATATTTAAACAACACGTAAATTGTAATTCTTTTGGATTAAAATTAAATTACCAAAAAGCTATTATGTATAAAATTTCATTAAATTTTATTACAAATAACACCCACAACACATTATTGTATCTGAAATCCTTTTTTTTATCAATATTATTACTATAATGGGGCGACATTATATAGAGTTCACTTTTTTTCTGAATAATTTTAATATATTTATAGCTGGTTACAAAATTTTAATGTGCAAAAAATTAAATTTTATTGTTTTGTTATATGATATTTATTTAACCCTTTCTCCGTTCACGCTGGGTAAAATTTTACTCTAAAATATTTTGAATTTAAATAAAATTTAATTTGGCCCAAATATTCAAACCAGTCCAGATTGTGTTATTTATACGAGTTTTCATAACTATAGCCTATACCCTAATATATTTTACATAAAAAATCTTTTTGATTAACTTTATTTTTTAGCTTATATTTTTTTGCTAATACTAGTATATAATAAATGATTTGTTTTTTTTTTTTTTTTTGCGTGAGTGACCGGAGCTGCCCACGTCGACCAACAAAATTTTTTGGGATTCTCATCCTTGTCTATCTTAGTCGTATACATAGGGTTTTGACAAAGTGCAGCACTGCAATCATATCAAGATGTAAGATTTTTTCCGGGGTCAAAAACCCCTTTTCGGAAATCTTTCAGTGGCAGGCGATCGTAAATGATTAGAATTATGTATTTATAAATTTGCTTAATTAACGACATAAAACTTTTATCGGAGAGTAATATTGTACCCTAAAGACGGATATGGGTTTTCGAGTCATAGAGTAGACGTATGAAAGGTTAAAATACAAAATTAATTTTTTTTTCATATATACTTCAACCTTGAGAATTTTTTTTTTTTAATAACAATCTCACTATATAAATATTACAATCATCATTTACGGGCAAACTTACATGTATACAACAAATTTCTTAAGCATTAATATTAAAAATTGAATGAATGTGCATTAATTAAAAAAAAAAATTAAATTTGCAATCAAAATTTCACACTTAATCATATTACAAAAAAAAAAAATAAAATTTTTTTTTTGAAAAGCTCTGATAAAATTCCCAATTTACACTCTGCTTAAATTTTAAATAAATTCATTAAAAAAACAAAAATACAAAAAAATCATGACATGCGGCATAAAAAACATGACATTGTATTTAAAAAATATTTTTTTTTTTTCTGATTATTTTCATATCCACGTTAATATTATAAAATTTCATCTCCGCCATTACACTCCAATTGTCTTTCTTCTATACAATATAATATACGAGTATATTGTTGTACATAAATGCAATTTATTATGTAGATACTCCAAATTTTTGCGGGGGCATCAAAAATATTACAAACATACATATATGAAAAATTATCGAAACCTTGACATCAACCTTTCTTTTTTTTTTAGAGTTACATCGTATAACAATATAATTTTCATTTATATTAATATTTTTTCCTAAAATAATGTCTTACACCCCATGCCACACCACCACCATCACCATTTAATTGTTGAGGATCACTTTTAACATATGAGAATACAATTGATGGTATATTTGCTTTAACTTTAATCCGTTTATTATGTTCCGCATTAATTAAATAACCTTTAAAGAGAGAAAAAAAATAATATTATAGTTTTTTTATTTTTTTAATTAAAATTCATTCAAAAATTCATTTTTAATTTAATATTTATATACGAATAGAAAAATAAAGGAAAGAAAACCTTGGCAAATTATAATGATTATGATAGAACAATAAATTAAAAATTTTAAATTAAAATTTTTTAAATAATTTTCATTATAAAAAAAATTATTTATAAAAATACAAGATCTTTTAAATTTTGAAGTTATCATCATTATCATCAATAATTTTGAACTTCTTCTAAATAAATTCTATAGACAACTAATTGCTAATATTAAAATGACATTGCAATTTATATATTTTTATTTGTATTATTGTAATTATTGTTATTTAAGTCAGGCTTACCATCTATAACCATTAAATTAATTGATAATTTTTTGTTTTTTTTGTTTTTGAAAATCTTTTCTAATTTTGTTATTGTTGTATAATCTTAATTTATGATGATTTGTCTTAAAGGTAATTTTTAATGTCTGTCCGATTAAATTACTTTAAATTTATTATTGTGCCTATGCATTACTGTACAGAATTAGGAGCGCGTTAGGAAGATAAAGGTGATTGTGCAGGAACCAATTGAGAATTCTCACTAGCATCTTGATGGGGCATGACAAGGCTTAGGAGTCACATTAGAAGTCTGGTCCCAGAAAGTGAAGCTACTTGAGGAGAATGGGGAGATCTCGGGATACCTTCTGGGAGATTGTGAGACTTTCCTCGCAGGAGAAGGGAAATACTTGAAAACTCCGTATTCTCTTCAGTGGAGTTGTAGTCTGTCTTTCAATTTTCTCATATTGATTAGGTTGTGGGTTTCGAGAAGAAATTTTAGGGGCGTGTCTCACATCTAGTGAGGGTCGCGATGCACTGTTACTCCATTTATACAATGTGTAATCTACTATACAGTAAATTAATACTAAAGGAACTTATCGGCCAATATCAAAAAATTTTACATACATATGTATGTCAAATTTGTCATTTGTTTGTAAATGTTTCTAATTTTGTAAACTATTAAGTAGAATTTCTTCATTCCTTTTCATTATTCGTTTTTAACATCTATTCCCTTGTAAGATGAATCTAGTTCATAAATAGTTTTGCGCCTAATTTGAAGTCAAACACATTCCAGAAAGCCACTTTCAAAATATTGCAGTAAACAAGTCGGAATACCTCAACACTTTAGTATAAGAGATACTCTACCGTCTAATTCTCTTTTACGCGAAGTCAACATAACTCTTCGCCTGCCGATCACCATCACATCACATTCAGTGGTTTTCAGGGAGAATGAGATATCAAAACTAACATGTTTTTTTCCTCGTCTCTCAATATTTCTTTTTTTTTTGCTAAACACTCTTTATTTATTTTCTCTCCAAAAAAATCTTTATTATAATAATAAATTGTCAATTTCAAATTGTGACAATATTATTGACGTCATTTTTAATTTACATTATGATTGAAATTGAACTCAAGTATTTTGTTTATTACTTGTGTATTGTTTTTTTTCATTTTAAAAGTTTTAGAAAGCAAAGAAAGTTTTATTAAAAGTACAAGGCACGTTTTATGTACATTAAATGTGTTATACACTTTGTTTTATTGTTATAAAATGAAATTTGAATTACTTTAAAGTGAATAAAGTGAATAAAAAACAAAACAAAAGTGAATTGTTGGAAAAATTGAGCAGAAAAAAAGACAAAAATCACTTTTTTCAAACAAAATACCCAAAAATAGAGTCTAGGGTTCAATTGCACAAAGTGTATATAAAAGGGAGTTAGATAACTTAAAAGCGAATAATGAAATTACAAAAAAAAAACAAAACTTCGTAATCAAAGTTACTTTTGAATGAAATTAAAACTCTTTTTTTTTTTTGCCATTAAAAAGATTATTGAAGCGTAATTTCCGAAAAAATTAATTTTTGTTGTATTTTGAAATTTTCATGATTTTAATGGAGGAACAACAAGACAAGAGTGATAATAAAAGTTTTTCTTTCTTCCCTTTACTTTTGGTCTTTCATAAAATTTGTTTCACTTAATTACGATATTACTTAATTAGGTTTTTATAGTTCTCCTTATGTCCAAAAAAATAGTTAAGAAAAATAATTTAGAAAAGTAATTGAACCTTATAAAACTTGCGTTGAGTATATGAAAAATTTGAGACATACAAAAAAAAAGGGTCATTTCAAAATGTTTGATGTGTTCTATTTCCTGAAATTGTATAATAAAATTATGGAAAAATTTAGAGCATAATTATTCAATATAAAAAAATTTTGGATATTATACCACTTTTACCCATTATCCGTGTAAAAAAATATTTGTTGCCACCAATATTTTCTGAGCTTCTCATTATGACACCAAATAAATGAACGATTGTATGAATGCTGATTGTAAATAGCTTATAGTTTAAAATTAAAATTCCGTTCAAGATTTGTAATCTATGAAAATAGTCCACGAAATTTTAGCAGTTGGGTATTTTGACATCTTGCCAGTTATTATTACTGAATTGTGTACGGTAATACTGTGCTCTGGAAATCAAAGTTAAGCACTTCTTTTAAATTTTAAGGTTAATAAGTAAATAAGCCATTAGTTAACATCCCGAAAAAAAATTTAATTTGGCTCTTAGTCAGAGATTAACTTTATGCCAACCGAACTGAGGCAGGCAGACAGATGGACGGCCAGACAGCTATACACACAGGCATATAGATCGACAGAAATCTCCCTAAAGACAGTTTATTTAAGCTCCCCTTCCATGGATAAGAGCGTTTCCACGGAACTTGACATGCGAAATTTAGTGTCATCACAGATAACCTATATGGTTGTTAAAAAACTAACTTCAGTCTTATTGAAGAATCTTACAAATACAAAGGCCAGTGATTCTTGGATTTTAAAGCTAAAATTTATTTTATTTTAATGTCATTCTAATGTCATTGTAATTGCTAAATGATTTTAAGTTTATTTCTTTGTTTTAGGAAAATGCAAATATAATTAGATAAAGACTCCGGTTACCCTGGTTTTACAAATTTACAATCTACAAATCCAGATGAAGACTAATATTATAATATTGTGAATGTGAAATTTGTAATTTTAAAATGGCAATCTATATGGCAGAATAATGTGTTCGAAAATCGGGCTCATAAAAGGTAAGTAAATGTTGTAAAATAAATAATTTTGCTTTAATATTTTAAATTTCGAGAAAATTTATTCTATATAGCTAATTTTATTTTATTAATATTGTTACTTAAATTTTAGTTATGTAATAATGTGTTCACCCCTTGCATTTTTTGATACAATGCACCTCTAACCTAAAACCTTTTGAATATTCATTAAAATTGTATCTTTACTATAATAAATTCAATTTAGTACTAACCTTTATTTTTTAATTTTCTTTCCGAAGTCATAAATTATTTGCCAAAATTATTGCACAAAATTTATTGAAAGTTTAAAAAAAATTTGTTTTTTTTTTGATAAATTTATTTTTCATCGTCAAGCAATTCATGTATAAAAATTATTCTAACTTGAGGCAATGATTAAAAATTTTCTTACAATAAGGCATTGCTTATTCAATTTATAAAACTCTTCTTTGTATTACAGTCTTACACCTTGCATTTTCGTGAAGGGTATATTAACTTTGGTATGAAATTTGTAATCACTTGAAGGAATTGTCTGCGGTATGGAGACATATATTCTTACTCAATGTAAAACTCAGCCTTAAACTCTGCGAACACTAAATTTCTACAGATTGCTTTTTTACTATCAATAACGGAGTCTATTGACGGGTAGCTGCCTTACAACTTAAAGAGTTTATTCCACATGTTGCAAAAACTAATAAAGATTATAATAATAAAATTTTGTACAGGTGGGCCCAATTAAATTTTACATTATATTTAAAAAATTTTAATGGGATGGCTGCACAGAGTCGGGTAGCCGTTAAAATTCTTCATAAGTTTTTTGAGATTCATAAAATTTTCCAATCACGTGTCTAATCATGTCTCTGATTTAGTCTCTGAAAATTTTGTAGCATGATTCAACAGGTTCGAATAGTTTTAAATATAAAGCAACTTTTTATACGTCGATTTTTAAGGTGCAGGGTATAATTCAGTCGGTTTAGACCGTCTTAAACGTTTTTTACTTTATTCGTTTGTTATATTTTAAATTTATTTTCATTCACTCATAATAATAATAAGGAATTTTTGTTGTTGCTGTGCAAAGCATTCTTTAAAAGAGAACACTGGCTATAAAAAATAACAATTACTGTGTAATGAAGAAGAATAAATGGTCATCTAAACTATTGAAAATTGCATTAGGTCAAAAATTGCAAGTTTTCTATTGAAACACTTCTTCTTCTTCTTTTAAAAATTACAACATTTTAAGCAGCAACAAAGTCATTGTTATTGCATATCAGGCAATTGTGTTATTTTTGTTAATAATTTAATAAATTTAACATTCAAAATTATGTTGATTAAGAATTTTGAAAAAAATTTTTGAAATTCTATTAAAAATTATTTAAAAACTTGCGATTTACAGCTGTGACGGAACAATATTGTGAGATACTCTAGTTCTAAATGCTCAAATTTCAAAAATTTCTTTTGGAACGTCAGTATTTTTTATTAATAACTTAGTTGATAAAACCCCAAGTTACATACACCATAATACCTTATGAAGTATCAGGATAGTGTCTGAAATGTATCTAGAATAAAGCATATATTGTGCCTGAAATGTGTCAAGAATATAGTTTCTCATGCTAATACCATAACGCTCTCTCATAATTTTCACATGCACCTATCTTTGTATTTTAAAATCAAAATAATATAAAAGTTTCACCTTAACCAAATCCAATTTATTGTGCGGGTTTTCGTAATTGCTGAGTAAAGTTTTAAATAAAGTAGAACTTGATTTAACGCACGTATAGTCAGAACAGGATGTTCCCATTTGAATTTTCCAAAAAATGTAAGCCACTGATTATTGTTTACGTGCAAATTTGATTAAATTTAAAACATCAGTAGCTTATGGCATATTGTTCCTGTACAAAAATAAAAATTTTTGTTTATTCAAAACTTTTCTACTTTTGACCACATTAAAATTTATCCATTCTCAAGTCCATGGTTTATCGTTTATTATACTATATATTATAATGTCATCAACAAAAAATCAATCAAGTGTTACGAAAAAGATTTAACCAAATCTATTGTTGTTTCAAATCTGTGAAGCAGAAATCAAAAGAAAATTTATAAGAAAAACAAAAATGTGATCTAAAAAAATGTGTTTTTATTAATGTCGTTTACTTTAATTTACATAGAAAATGGGTACCCTTTACAAATTCCAAAGTATATATACGTAATCGTATTCCAATAATATTTGAATCCAACCTGAAATTCACTTGTTTAAAATAAAAAATTTTCTAATATAAAATAGGTGTTAAAGAAAGTATTTTGATCAGTTACAAATTACATTTCATACCGGTTAAGTTGACATATAGAATACCGGAAATATGTCAGTTTTAAAATATTTTTTAATTATTTTATTAGTGTCCTTATTGAATATCAATATAATACAAGCAATTAATAGACGTACTGATAAATCATCAAAAATATCATCAAAATTATCAAATCAAAAAAATGATCAATTTGAAAATAATTGGCAACCAATTGGTTATCATACTGAAACAGATCACAACATACCACATAATGAAAATATTGAAGATCGTCAAATTAAAGATATTTCCGTCAAATCCACTGAATTTTTTCATGATTTAACTGGAACAAAATCACCATATGATAAAGATATGAAAACATTAGCTGAAAGGGGATTAAAATTAATAAAGGAACAAGAAAGAGAAGATAAATATAAAGATCTTAAATCAATGGATAGTAAAAATAATCATAATGGTGCAGCATTATCATTAAAAATACCAAATAATAATTTTAATAAACCATTTAGTTATGGATTTCTTATACCTTCAAATGATAATAATGAACAAAATAAAGAAAAATCAAAACATCATAATGATTATCATCAACATTCAAGTGATTATCATCCACAACAGCAACAACAATCTCAATATTCACCACAGTTGTATGAACAACAACAACAACATCATAATATTGGAAATCAATATTATAATCAAAATCCACATCAAACACATGAATATTATGAAATTCCACAAAATTTCGCACCACATTTTGAAGCTCTTACACAAGCAAGAGATTCTGTTATAAAAAATAATCATCATATTCCACAAGTGCAACATCAACATCAACAATATAATCAACAAACATCATTACCACCAAGTAATTATGATGTTGATATACAACATAATCATAATACATTTCAAGGATCGCCCCCAGATCATTCATCTATTATTGAACATTATAATGAAAATGTTCATAACTTTAACCCAACAACAAATCCAAATAATCAAATACATATACAAAAATTTCCTGGTTCTCCTCCAGAATCTTACAATCATGAACAATATTATAATAGTAACGGTAATGAAATGGCTCCACATTTTGAAGCGTTAACAGGAGAACAAATGCCACCATTAAATCATCATAATAAAAATTCATCCAAAAAAAAGAAAAAATCTAAGAATAATAATCATCATCATCATCATCATGATGATCATCATTATGATTTTAATGATGATATGTTTGGTCATGATACATCATCTTGTGATGATGGTATTGATTGTGATCATGCTAAAGAAAATCAACATAATAAATCATCGAAAAAACATAAAAATCATCATCATCATCATAATCATCATAAAACTAATCAACAACATCCAGATACAGCAACATTATTAAATCATAAAATCTTCCATGATAATGAAGAAAATCTAAGTATAAGCTCACCAGATGATAATAATAGTAGTAATCAACATTCATATCACAATTCTCATCATTCTATCAGTAATGGTGGTAAAAAATCCAAGAAAAATAAGAAAAATAAACGACATCATAAAAATAATCATCAAAGCAGGGGTGTTGCAACACAACCTTTAGCTAATACCAAAGAACAATATCATATGTCAGATCATCCGCATAAAGGACATTCCTATCAGGTAATTGAATATCCACAAGAAAGTAGAATTAATGAAAGATTTACAAAACCATTGAATGAAACTGTTTCAAAGAATACAAACACCAAATCAACTGTAACAAAAGAATCTTCATCTCCAACGCCAACAACAAAATTAAATAATCAAAAATTTAATAAAAAATTTGATGAAAAATATTTGAATAAAGATTCTAAAAATAAAAATTCCAAATCGCAACCAGAATCAGAGAAAAATAAAGATAAAACCGATTTGAAATCGAATGGAAAAAATTTCACTAAATCAAACAGTGGCGTTCCTCTACCATCTCCCGAATATAAATTTCTTATTAATTATAAGGATGCCAGTGATCGTAATGATAAAAATATTAATGATAAAGAAAAAATTGGATTAGACGAACCAGAAAACAAAGAAATTCGATATTATCAGTAAGTTTTTTAAAAATCAAAAAATAATATTTAAATAAAAAATATTATTTTTAAAATTTAATTTATTTAAAAATATATATATACATATATATATATAATATATATTCATATAGAGATATTTATATAGCAAAAAAGGAACCGAAATTCATGGAAATGGGGCATAAAATTGAAAAGCCTGGATATTTAGAGGAGCGTTTCGAAGAGAATGATCGTAAAAATAATCAATTTAGAGGAAGTGTTAAATGGATTAATCATAAAGGTGAACAAGGTCTACAATTATGGGATTTAGGTCATTTTGGCTAAATTCATCTTATATAATATTTAATTCAGCCATTGAAATGATTTTATTCCAATTAATTACGATCATTTTATTATTAATTTCGTTTGATTATCTTTTTTTACTTATTGAATATTTTTAATTTTGTTACGATATGTTTTTTTTTTATTTTTGTAATTAATTTTGTTAATTTGTTTTAATAAAAATAAAAAACAATTTTTTTATTAAGAAAAATAAATTATTTCACCCCTGAGAAAAAATTTATTAACATCCCTGCCTAACGTCAATGTTACAATTGTAATGTACATATTACTACATAATTCAGCAATTTGATTTATACTGTATACAATTAACCCAGCCAGTAAGAACAACTTTGACATCGGAATTGTAATAATACTGTAACACAAAACAATTCAGCAATTAACGGTCATAAGCTGATTTGATTAGTAAGTCAGAAATGTCGACATCAGAATAATTGATGACATTACTTTGCCACTATTTGATTTCAATTTGTTTCACATTCTTATAAGATGGAATTTGTGCGTAGTAATGCAAAAATTATTGAATCATACTAAAATGCAGATTTGACGTTAATTTAATTTATTCAGCAACGTAATTTTAATTGCTGAATAAGCTGAACTATTATCAGATTCGCTTTTTGGTAAGCACTTTTAATTTACATAGATTTTTAATTCATTATTTACAAAATAATGCCAAAATATCCCATTTTTTCCTAAAATATCATCACCTTACATAATTTCTTAAGATTGACGGATGAATTGACTTGAAAATATTAAAAAAATACCAAAATGCGAAAAGTAAACTTGACCTTGATATCTATTTTTTCTGATAACAAAAAAATTAGATTATAAAAGCTGCGTTATTCTTTTAAAGTACCACCTCTCTAGTTATTTGAATTTTAAATTGCTAACATATGATTGGCATAAAACTATCAATCAGATGATTAATCGATATAATATTATAAAAAATATTTACTACTGAAGGGTCAATATTAATCACCTTCATTATATACCACTATTAAGAAAATGATGTATGAAGGTAAGTTGAAAAATATTTGGAATATTTTAAACATTGTACATACTAAAAACTAATTCTCTCATATAAAATTGAAAATTTAAAGGGTAAAATGAAATTATCAAATTACTGTTTGCTCAGCTTATGTATCGCTACACGTGCTACAAAACTACACCGTGCAAGTACGAATCTATTATACATGTAGATACCAATTACAGTATAAAAACATTAAGTCAAGATTTTATTTCTCTAGTTAATGTGAATTGTTTATGATGTGTTAAAGTGATGACTTCTAATGGATTTAAGATGTAATAAAAATAACTATGCACGTATGTACGTATAATGCTGGCTGACTTCCAAATTGTAAAAACTGCGTTATACGAGTATTAGGTGAACTGTCATTGTCTCATTGTTGAAGTTTGAAAATTTTGATGAAGCAACAGATGTGGAATTTTAATGAAGCATTCAATTCAATATTGCTTAAAAATCGTTTTGAATACGTAGAAAGACAAGTTGTCAAGCGTCAATATTATATGCGAATGTAAAAACATATGATTGTGACGACTTTAAATTTTAAATTCCCTTCATAATGTAAGCATAATACTCTATAACTATAATAAAGTTCATATAGGGAGGTTTGTTACATGTTTTGGGAGCAAGGCTATATGTTTAAAGATAATATATCATACGTGCTCAGGAATATTTTCAAATGTTTGTCAATGGTGTTGTCTCTTTTATATTTAATATTATTAAATAATATTATGGATAATATTGTAGCAGTAGCAAATTTGTTATACTCAGCAGTTATTTACCATAGATGCAGTATGTAATTTATTTCTTAGTTTATGTTGTTGCTATTAACAATAAATTAATAATTATTAATAATTATCAGCATCATGATAGTTTATCGGTTTTTTTTATTACATACACACATACTTTAATATTAACATTATTATTATGGATTTTTGCTTCTTAAATACCCGATTAAGGTGTGACTGTCTAAGTCTATATAAGCTGCATATAATAAAATGTTATTTTTAGAAAAAAAAAATTAAGTTTAATAAATAATAAAATTTTTTTTTTTTTGATTTTCGTTGCTAACCTTAAAATTTTTAAAGTTATTAATAATTATTATAAAATTTATGCCTAAAGGGATCATAACAGTAAAAATCTGTACATTTATGACAGAGGATTGAAAAATTAACATTAAATTTTATAAAAAAATTAATGGCCTTGACAAATATTAATAAATTTATTTTTTTTTAATTATAAAAAGAATTAAAATTAGTTGAATGAATTTTTTTTTATCAATTAATTGTTTTTAGAATATTTTGTATTAAGTTTAGAAAATTAAATTTTAACTTTTATTTTCAAATGAAATATTGCAAAAATTATTTATAAGAGTTGCCACCCATAATGTTATTTACGTTACTAACACAACGATGTACCCAAATTGTAGTGGGCTCTCACATAGAGTGCTCTCTTCTAAAGGGTTGAAATTAAATTATTATTATTTATTTCGGCAACTTACTTAAATAACAAATAAATCAAGTGAATTCTGATTTAGTCCATTAAGAAATTTGATGTTATTTCCATTCGAATGTAGATTATATTGTCGATTGTTTTGTATTTGTGTACATGTAATGTGTACATTGATAATATTTTCAATCATCGACTTAATATATCTTAGGATGTCGATCATTTTTCATTGCTCACAGCAGAATTCGACTTAATATATCTTAGGATGTCGATAATTTTTCATTGCTTGCACCAAAATTCTTTTAAACTAATTTATAAAAATTCTACTATCTTTCGAATTAATTGATAATTTTTTTTTAATATAACAGTGATTACGACAAGAATGAAACTATATTAGAAAAAAATTTTAATCTACATATGAAAACAAATACGATTAGATGTTTAATTTTACCATAAAGTATACTAGTAAAAATAATGCGTGCTCTGAATAACTGAGAAGAACGGACATTCGGCCGATCATTGGAACAATTACCATATAGTTTTTCACTACAAAAAATTTGTGAAATTTTTACAGATCAACCAGATTGATAAGGCTGTTGGTGAATGTGCAAATTCTTCTTGATTGTTTATATGAAAATGATAGACTAAACAGAAAACGAGGTCTGTCATCCCTTCATGGATGAGAAAGATAGTGTGGTGTAATTGTGAATGCGAATTCGTGATCGAATGTCTCTCACTTGCGATTGAAAATATGAGATATTTCAGAAGAATTTTGTGACTACGATGGAAATCTTGCGGCTCGTATTGTGTTAGCAATACTACAATTTTTCAGTATCACAAAATATCCTACTGGCCGATAGAAAAAACAAAATATACACTTAAGCCCTTATTTTTGGATAGTCTATTCATAGTTTAATAACATGAATAGTTCAATATATTTTTCCTCGAACTTTAATTGTGTAATAAAAATTACCTTAATTATTGCCATTTTATTGCTCTCCTTTACAAGTTACCATGCCCAACAAATCCATATTTTACAATTGATTTTATTTCTTAACGCAAATGGTGTTTCCATAATATTATTTAAAAACCATTAAAATTAAAAATTTTCCAACATTTTTTTTTCTTTATCAATTTTGTAATTTTCACTTTTTGTTTTTTCTTGTAAAATTTGTGCGTGCGCACATTTCTTAATATTTTCTTTTTTTTTTCAACTTTGTTATTGTAATGTTAATGAAAATTTTTATTTTTTACTAAGTATTTTGTAAATAAAAATTTTTTTAACAGCTAGGGTGAATGAAACTTATTGCTTTTTGAACTTGATTTAAATATTCGAAGACTAAAAATTTTACAATTCAATTTTGAAAAAAAAAATATTGATTAATTATAATAAATTAACTATATAAAAAAAGAAATGCATTTTAAATTTTCATTACACATTTTTTGTACATTATTATAGCTAATTACATATTTTACTTGAACAAAATTTTTAATTCGAAATCTTATTGAAATTGCGTGTAAAATTTTATTTATCGTGGCTTATAAATTCAATTACATATATTTATTTATTAATATAAAAAAATTTTATATGCGTTTGTATGTGTGTAATTTAGTATAATAACCTTTTTGATTCCATAATTTAAGTATGGGTAGAAGAAAAGCAAATAATGGAAATACTTAAATAATTGAAATTATAAAATAGAAATTGTATTGAACGTTTTAAAATCTCGTGTCGCATATAAAATTTCATGTAAAGGTATTATAGGATTAAAATGCAAACGTAAAATTCAATTACAAGCTCGCAAATATACAAAAATCTAGTTTTATCATAACTTAACATCCCAATATTCTTAATATGTAAAGCAAGGCCCACGGCTTGAAACTTTGCAAACGACATTGCAAAAAACAACCCCATTTAAATCATCTTATAGTGAAAAAAAATTCTGCATTGTCAAACCATCTGCCCGCCAGTTTTTCTTTCTACTATTTTAATTGGACTCATTTTGAAAAATTGGGTTCGTTCAGTTACCATATAACTCCAAAAAATTTATTTTAAATATTTAAAAAAAAATTAATAAAGCCGGAACTTCATGAATCACAGCTTACATATATCCTATAAAATGAAATAAGTACACGGACGAGAGTGGCTGTTATACAACTCTAAAAACTAATTTTAAATATTTTAAGACTAATTGAGACTACTAAATATTTAGTAAAAGAGTGACGAATTGTTGATAACTTGTTATACGTCCCAAAGTTAATGTTCAACTGGTTCATTATTACAATTCAGTTGATTAAGCTCAACCAGCAAAATTTTATTCTTTTCCTAACATCTTTGGAATCTCTTACGAAATTTAGAAATATATCCGAAATTTTTAGGTCAAGTTCGACATGGCAACTTCGCAATTTGCATAAATCTAGTAACACTTAAAAAATTTTTCTTTCGAGCTCATATATTATTACTTCCAATCCAAGTTAATACAGAAATTAAAAAATTTTTCCTACAATCGTC